AGATGGGTACAGTCGGTTCCACCAACGTGAAGGCGTGCTGCTTGGGAACCTCGGAAGTGTCATTGTAGAGGGGATTGACTTTTGTAAGAAAGCAAAATGTCCATTTTCATGGGATAACAGGAAGCCATTTTTTTAAATTAGCGCAAGTATATATTTTTTTTTCTTTCCAGCCTAGTGTGGGTTCATAATAAACAGCGGCAGTGCAGGAATATCTGAGCCGTCTATGCGGAGGCGGTGAGGAAAAAGAACATGTTTACCATTAAAAGATGCTATAGGGACGCCAAGAAGCCAATTCAGGCAGTTTATCGCTGATTCAGTAAACAATTCAAGTGTTTTCCTTGTACCATAAACTCTCTGGTTAAAGGAACTAAACCAATTGACTTACGTTAGGGAATACAAAGACGGTATATAATACGGAGTGCAAGGACACACTCGGTCATTTACAAAGCTCATGGTAGAACATAGACTGTCACGATTTTAGAGACTTGTATGAAGCTTGTTACGGCGATTCTCTAAGGCCTTCCCTTCCAAATAGACGAAAACTCGGATTTTAAGGAAGAGATATAGATTTTAAATAGACTATTGGTAGAAAAGTGTACATTTTAAATGCCCTACATACATAATATATGTGGTCATACTTAAAACTTCCCTTGTTTCTGCCAGCAAACACTGGACTCGATATTCGAAGTTACGTGCAAATTTAAACTGAGAGGACACACAGACCGGTAACGATCGATTTTTCAAAAAGCGATACGGTCGCAGATTAAAATAAGGCAGATTGCAGTGCTAGAGAGAACGGAAGAATGCCACATGGTACAGACAAATCTTAGCAGTTGAAGGTCGAGGTTTGTGTATTGGTCAAATTCACCGGGTTAGCTATGAACAAATAAAGCAAAAAATTACCAAAATTACTCACTAGGTTAAGGATGTATTCTGGTAGATTTTGGAATGAGTCGGGAGATATTAGGGCCTCTGACGAGGACGAGGACGATGATGAGGCCTTCTGATCTGAGGTATCGCCGTCGGTCGTGGCGGTATAGTTTTCAGGGACATAGGAATCGGCGGTATCAATGTGTGCAGTTCGTGTTAAGGGGGTTGGGAAGTTGGTGTTGGAGGACACCGCGGTTCGCGAAGCCGTCAGACTGACATCTGGCATATTGTCATCATCGTCCTCAGCACTGCCGTTGTCTTCACTTCCAGACAGCATGACAAGATCTTCGTCGAGAAGCACGCCACCGGAAGTTCGATTGGCTGCTGGATTCGCAGCATCGATTACCGCAGCGGAAGTAACACTCATCCGATTGTCCGGCCTGTTTTCGTTTGAGAAGACATTGAGATTTCGGCCGTGGTTGGAGTAGGACTGATTGAAGGACCGACAAGAGCCGTCACTCTCCAACTCACTACTGCCCAGACTCTCGGTTGGGGGAAGTATGGGGGCCGGCTGAGAACAACCAAGTCGCACAACCTTTCTGAAGCACTAGTAGAAGAATCAAGAGCAGAATACAGTTAAGTAATTTGGTGCACATTGGACTGGATGTCGTCCACAATAATGGGTAATCTGATTTATAAGTGCTGAATTAACAATGACGTAAAATGAGTACAAGTATAAAGAAAGCAACACGGCAACCAAATTTTCGTTAGAATTTGGGGGGCTCTAAAGAGATATTATTCGAGGAAACGAGCGGTAGAGAAAGCATAAATTCATTTAAACGAACTACAATCAGCTCAAAACATAGGGGGAACCTTTATTCCTTAAATCGCACAACGCAGACAAATGATCCTGCAAATTTAGCAAGTTATGATCTAAACAGGAGGCGAAAATGCTTAAGTTTATTTACACTGAAGGTTCCGCTATAACCGAACCAAAAAACAAACCCTAGACCCTTAAGGGCACACGGTTAAGGCTGGGACAATAAAAGACTACAGTACAGAATGCGATAAACTGTGTAAGTTAGTTAATAATCCTCTGCAATTGTATGTTCACGATAAGCACAATGATGTCTATTGCAAGCCCTTTCACCATGACTGAAATGAGATCTCACAAACATACTGATATACTTGGCCAATACGTCTACATCACCTTACTCTCTAGCACGCAGACCACATCTGTGGTCCCATGAATATGTGCTTCGTACAGTTGCCACACCCTGGTAACCGTCAATGGCCTGCGAGCTAAGCCAGGCGACGATTATGTTTGCATATTTAGTGAAACCTTATGCGGTCCAAGTGCCCACCTTCCCTTCCCGTAAGCAACCAAGACCAGTTCGGATTGTTTTTCAATTGCACTGTCTAAGCGCTATATTAAAATCCGGCAGCCGTCTGGAACGTCCAAATAACCTTATTCAGAAATGCATTGCTTGGCCCGCTGCAGACTGATTCACGCAGTCTACATAACCGACTGTAAGACGCTGTCGAAACAAACAAAATAATCCCTATGGCAGCGGAAAAGCACATTGATATTTACGGAAGATAATGCAAACGAAACCGCACTTTTTTCTATTCCTAAGTCGTGTGCGAGAGAATTAAAAGGAGATAAAAGATAACTGGCTGATTTGCGCGGCTGAATAAATCCAAGAATAAGCAAACCGCACTCAGGGCGCCATGGCTCCCATGCAAGTTACGGCTTTTTACCAATAAGGGAATCGTGTCCTTGCTCGGCTTGAACGGCATGATCCAACCAACGATGTCGCGAATACTGAAATTAAAAGTCAGGCGCTTCAGAGATGTCCTAAAACGTCCATCTGTAAGCTGCGAAGGGACCACCATTTCTGTGGGGAGCGAGAATGGTAGTGCAGCAAACGTTTAGAGGCAAAATCTCGAGTTAAAAATCTGTTCCAGTAGAGAACTCCAAATACAACAACCCTCTATTTCTGAACAGACTGATTACCCACTTTGGGGTATAGAAACACATTTAAATGCTGTGTCTATAACCACAGAAGTATAAGCACGAAGATGAGGAAGCGTAGAGCTGCTAATCTAATCGGGACGGACACGAGGACAGTTATTTCAAAACTCAGGAACTTCAATTACTGTACGTTTTCTGCAAAGGTGAGCTAGCAAGAACCGATCACAGACGAGTTCAACATCAACTTTAGACCACCGCCGTCAATAAGTTCTACATGGGTGACCACTGATGACTCACGTTCGGGGCGAAAATTGGACTTGTTGGACACCTATCCACCGCAAGGTCAACACAAAGACTAATTACGTCGCCGTACTGTCCGTCAAAACATGCTGACAGACCTACTCAATTGCTAGACTTCCACCTAAATTACGTGCTTATGAACTTGAATAGTCGCGTCACGGACAACCACTACGATTTTGATCAGCCAATAGCGATTCCATCAGAAAAAGACCGGCAAACGACTGTCAGAAATCTCAAACGACACTCGTGAAGTGTGCATTACATGCATGTATGGTTCCCTCACATTCCAACATCCTGAAGACCTACTCGGTTATACGCACACACAAATACACACACCATAACGGCTACCAAAATATCACCCGTTATTAAGACAACAATGCGTTGAAGCTGGACAACTTCGGTAGTACGCACGACGTACGTTACGTGCAGACGACTACCTGCGGCCTCATGCTAAGTCACAAACTGCGTATGGATGTCATTGCCAGCGGGTTGGACTCGGACTTGCCGTTAACATCGGAAAGGAAACATGTGAAATCCTGCCAGGTCAGATCCAGCGGCTAGTTTTTGCAGGCCAGCAGCTGCAGTTTCGGTTACCAGCTTACGATATAACCATGTCTTCTTGCGGGCCGGGGACCCCGGCTGCAATGACTCCTCAATTTCGCACTTATGGACTTTTGACCCGAGTAAGACTGGTGCGTTTGTGTGGAATGCGTAGACTCGACCTCAGTCTCTTCGGGCACTACATACTCGCCCATCTATAGTCGCCCGGACCCCGTATTTCTATCCAGCCGGGAAGGTGTGAGGCCAAAAGGACGCAGACCTGTTTCATTAGAAACACTTACACGCATCATTGCTTGAAATGAGCAATCCTACGCAGGAAAAAAACAGTCACTTGATAAAAGGATACCGAAACAACTGCCTTGGGGAGGAGTTTGGTAAACGTTGCTAGATAGTAGGGACAAGAGTGTGCAGAATCTAATGATGTGCGGGCAAAATATGCACTGTCTACCTCAACAAGCGATTGGAAGACGGTCGGCTTAAGTTCATTGTGAGACCGTAGCAGCTCTTGGATTGAGTTGCTCATCTGGCTGGCCGTTAAGTTTGTAGAGAAGACTTGTCCTGCCGAGGGGGCAAGGCTGTAGGAGATCTGCGAATGGAAATCACGCACGCGTCTTGCCTTCATTGTGCTGAGGTAGTCCGGAGAGACCAGAGTCTCGAGGTACTTATTTAAAATCCCAGATGAACGAAGAGCAGATCGACCCCGGGTGTTGAGGGCCAGGGTGTTTAATATGGACGGTAAGTGGACAAGAAAGTCACGATTTTGTGGTAGGGGTTGTGTTATTAGGGCATTCAGGATTCCACAGGTAATACCATTGTCCTAAATAAGCAAAAACAGCAAAAATGAAACGTTAGGCATAAGTAGTGACGAATAAACGTCCACAAAATGTAAAACGTGATGAAAACTAACAGATGCACCTCCCTTGAGATAGCGAGCAGATGCAGAGTGTCAAATCGTACTTATAGTCACTGACAGGATTCAGTATTAACTACGTCCATGCAATTCGAAAGATCAACAAACGCGGCTCTCTGATCGAAGTGCATTCAAGCGTAAATTCTAGCGGAATCGCAAAGTACCTTGCCAACTAATATCTAGATGTATTAATCCCAAAAAGGCTAAGTTACCCGCAGGAGCGGTGGGTTTTCGCAGACTCGCAGAACTGTGTTCTGAGAGTGCAGATTACTCACAAATATATGACGGTAAAGTGTCCGCAAACTGTGCACAAATAAGCAGACAGGCTTTTAAAAAAATAGCAGGCGGCTTGCTTTCCTTTTTAATCTAGCAAAGTGAGAAGTTGAAGCGATCGGCATGATTGAGATTCCACAGCGTATTGTACTTTGCGTTATCAAAATTAGTTTGTCGTACTGTATAAACTAACCAACCAACTTTCATGTTCAACTGTATGGGTTGGTTAGACGGATAAGAATTTTCGAGGCCACTGCTTAAATTTTCACAATGAGTATTTGAGTCGTCATCAGAAGGCTGCGAGGGGAAAAACGGTTGCAGTTCTGGGTCATCTAAACTAGAATCGCATCTTCGGTTCAAAACACATTATTCGACGAGGGAACTATGTACAATGGAAGTCAAAGCATCTAGAGGTGTATAAGGGATTAACTACAAGACATGCATTAGAAAATTATTCAAACTCGATCTAGCAAAATGTGAAGCAAAGTCGGAATGTATGTTAGTCAGGATGAAGTAGATAGAATGAGGGAAATTTAAGTGGTTACAATTTACAAACCACCTCTAAAAAACGACAAAACAGTCATTAATAAAATAAAATTACCTGCATATTAGAGATACGCGAAGGATAAGTGTAAATGTAGTTTGTGACCGTTTCCATTGCGAAGAGAGCCAAATGGGGAGTAAAGTGGAAGACCGAATTTTTGTAAATCGAACAAAGTATCTGTGGAAGGTTGCCCTCCATTGAAGTGCGAACTGCATCGTTCCAGTCAGTATCAAGGCAAAGGCGTTTTAAAAGATTAAGGATTGACTTCATTAGGCCAGATCGTTGGGTATTCAGCAAAGGTGCCTGACCGCCAGTCGCTTCCTATATCCAATGAAAGGAAAAGCAGGAAATTCCCATTATTAGTAATGGTAAGCGACTACAAAGTACAACAAAATACCGAGTGTTTTGGAACGAAATGCACAAGCAAAAAAAGATGATCGTAGCTAGACATCTATTAGCCGCACAGATAAATGCGAGGCGGCAATACTAGTATCTTCAAATGAACATTTTGATGAAACTTAAACGAAGCAACAGGGCATGAAACAACCGCGGAAAACCGAAATTGTCCTGGTAAAAGGCTTTCAGAAAAAAAGGGTTCTCGGTGACATCGGCTTAACGTGATCAAGGGTACCTAGACAAATGTACTTACGGGGCTGCCTTGGTTACTCAAAACAAGATCAACTTCATATCCAAGCCGATCGACAAGCCGATTGACTACAGTTTGTCTGTTGGTGGCAGCATTCATTAAGATTTGGTCAGTAACGCGCACAGCTCTGGTGACATAGCTGAGGCAGTCATTTCGGGGAACATGCCACGCGATCAGCTGAAGCATCGAGTCGAGTATGCCACTTGTGCTTAAAGTTGTGGCATGATTTTGTCCGCTGCCTAAAAAGGTAAAAGACCGGCAATAATAATAGGAAAAGGACGAAAGGCTTTACTTGAACTTTTACATTTTGAATAACTACAGACCAGATGATTCAGTCTAAACATACCTGAGCCGATGTTTTCTTCAAATGAGGCAAGGTGATAGAGGAATGAAAGTAGGGCTATTGTGTACTGTTGATTAACGCTGCCGCCAGCTGCATCACAAGACCCATCGACCAAAGCCTGAATCCATTTTCGAATGCGGGTTGGAAGTGCTCCATGAAAACTGGACATGCCAGTTGACTCCAAAATTGACATAAGGCTAGATCCAAAATAAATAGTTAACAAAGAGGTTGAATGGGGCAAAAGGGATGATACCCAAAAAAGTTTAAAGAGGAGACACGCACTCAGGCGATAATGATGGGCCAAAACGGAAGTAAATAGTTAACAAGTGAGTGTTTTACCGTATGACTGCTTTCCCAGCTCAGTAATTTAGTGACTCACTCGAAATAAACTAGTTTGTTGTTGGGTAGGTTAATTTCCGTAATAACCAACAGCTAGAATTATCACACAACAGCCGCTAATTAACCGAATTTGTTTTCAAACAAGCAATACAAGACAAGGGTTAAATTCTAGGCCCTAAAGTAATGATTGATAGGGTTCTAAATACTACTTAGCATTTGGAACCAACATGAGCTAAACCTCAGAAACAACCGAGTGAACTTACTTCACGTTTACTCGGTGAGAACTGAAGATGGCAGTCATTGTTCGGAGAGCACATGCCTTTATCTCCATAAACTCGCCGTCTGGTAACTGTAGAACATCAACCAGTTCATCCACCAGGGAAGGATATAACAGACGATCGTTAATTTCAAAAGTATAGCCTACATGTAAAAAGAAATAG